ACTCTTTCAATTTTTTTTTTTTTTTTACAATTCTTTAAATTATTGGTTGAAATATATCGAAAATTATAAAGTTTAGTGAATTGTATGGTTAAATCTGAGACTCGTTAAATGAATTGTGGAACTCATTAAAAGTTGTAATTTTCAAACACAATACTGTTATGATTTGTAATTAACTACAGTAAATACCAAAATATCTAATTTAGTTTTTTGAGCAGTGTAAAAAATTAGAGCAAATCAATCACTTCTTTCCAAATCAAATGGACTCTTAACTACTCATAACTCATAACTAACATTACAAATGAAGTTTTTTCCAACCGTTTTTATAGTGTAAAAAAGAGAGAGTATGCAGATTTTACGTGTTTTTTTTATTGGTGTTATGGATTTAAATTTTCAAACATAAAGGTTCATATACTGAGGACAAATTATTTGACTCTTAAATAAAAACATATGGAAATTGAAAAGGTCAAATAGATTCTGAGTAATTTAAATTAATAATAAATATATCCTTCTTCTTTTACCTCTTTTCACTTTAGTGGCTAAATCGAACAATAAAACCCAGTAATAATACTGAGTAAACAGCTTTACGGTTAAAATCTTTAGAATTTGTCACGTAAATACAAAAATGGAAAGTTGAATTTTTCAATACTATTGATCCAAGCCCAATGTAAAATGAGGCCCAGCGTACAACTAAGTCCCATTGGCAAAATCCTCGTTCTCAGTTCTGTCTAGAATCTTCCGAGATAAGTGGAAGAGGTAAAACCCTAATAATTGAACCCCAAAATGCCCCTATTACAACTCACAAATAAAATTCCTAGTACCATGTTCTAGCATTTTCCAAACCACAGTATAAAACTTAGTTGAAGGTGTTAGTTATCCGAGGTTGTGTCATCATCAATTTCGATCAGGTGAAGAAATGGCGGAACACTTGGCATTGGATTTGGAGGAGCTTCGCCACCTTCACAGCATCGCGAAAAGACCTCGAACCCTCTCTCTACTCTCCTCCGAGATTCGCAATTTGGAAAAGGTTTTCAGTTTATACATTTCATTTCCCTTCTCTTCATTACTATTTTCTCTTTTGTTTAATTGTTTCCGTTCTTTTCTCAACAGCTTTATTTTCTTTGTTTTGTAGTGGAATTTTATCGTTATTGCTTTCTGATTCCTTTGCATGAAAATTTATGAGATGATTTTTTATTTTTATTTTTATTTTTATTTTTTTAGTTATCATCATCAGAGGCACCTTCTGCGCCGGCTTCACAGACTCCAACTCCAATTTCAACTGGGACTATTGTGTCACCTTCACCTGCATTAAAGTATTCCACGCTCGCGTCGTTCAGTTGGGATCAGGATAATGAGAAAGTTAAGGTAAACAATCGAATAATTCATGGAGATACGTATACATTTGAATATTAATTATTAGTTGAATGACATTTTCTACCTGTGTTCAACTTTTGGCTGCTCTGTTTTATCCAATGATATCTCTTAACTAATCGTATCGCTATCGCATGGTATTTTGTCTTATAAGTTACATGTCCATGTTTCTAAATTGTGATTGCGGTTGCAGCCATTGCAGTTGCTGCACAGATTGCAACTGCAGCGTGAAATTATTATATGTTTACAGTTTACACTAAACATAATAAAGAATTCTATAATAATAAAATTTGAACCTTTCTTTCACAATTTTTCACTCCACACTTCCTTTCCCCTTTTACCTCCTAGCACTCCAACCAACAACCATTAATTTCTTCCCTCTCTCCCCCAACATCCCACATAACCACACTCGTTAGTATAGAAGATTGAAGATCGAGTATTTGTTTATTTTTGAGAAAAAAAATTGGAATAGAAGGGTGTTGCAGCTCTGTAGCAATTTCATTGTGGCTCAGTTGCCGTTGCATCACGGTATTTCATGTGATTGATCTTCACACTGCGATTGCAGGATGTTGCAATTGCGGGTAAATTTGCTGGTGGGGAATATTGCGGCCGCAATAGGTGTTGTGGTCCGCAATTTAGAACCATGCATGATGTCACCTTGCCCTTTCGTTAGCAAGTTGTGTTCACACTAGAATATACACTAATTGAGGAATCCTAAAGCCTCTTTAAGAACTCAAAAAATCTCATTATTACCATTAGATAGCAGTGTAGAGTTTTCCTTGAGACTTTGTTTGAGATGAGTGGGATGGAATAATAGTTGAGTAGTTGAATGTAATATAATTACCATACCATTACGTGGAATTTTGCTATGGAGTAAAGCAAGTTTTCATTTTGTTGTTTGAGTAGTGTATGGAATGGGATGGGAACTAGATTAGGAGATTAGAAATTATAAGTTGATTTTATTTTATATATTTCCTAATATTTTGTGACTATCTCTGTCCATTAGTAATAAATGTATAAATATAGATGTAGTAAATGACGTGATAGAGATAGACACAAAATGATGTTGAATATATTGTTATACAGTTTGGTTGTACAAGTATCATTTCACATGGTTAAATAGCCTCTATAGTGGCACTACAACCTACAATGCTATTGCATTGCGGAATTCCTTGGATCTACAATCACAACTGCATCCACTATAGGTGTCATGAGTGTCCAGCCAATTGAACTTTTGAGTTACTGTTATGCCATTTTTTATGCATTTTAGTTTTATTTGCACATCTTAGTCTTTTATACATATTTTGCCGTTGGCCAGTGATGCTGCGCTACCCTCTATATGATACAGCAGGTTATTGGCTTTTCTCCATTTTATGTGATCTGCAATTGATAACACTGTTTTAAAATCTAATTCCATTTTAATTCTCTACTTCATTCCTTTATAGTAGTATTAGTCTTAACAAATAGCTTAACAGTTATGTTCTTGATTATCAATATCAAATTTCTCCTGATGACTATGATTCTTTTATTTGTTCCAACAGATATATGTGTTAATGGAGGGAATTGATGAGAATAAGATTGAATCTGAGTTTAAGTCAGTGTCATTTGATGTTAAGTTCCACGATGTTCAAGGGAAGAACTACCGATGTGCAATTTCAAAATTGCATAAGGAGATAGTACCCGAGAAATGCAAGGTTTTGGTGAAGCCTAAAAGGGCGATCATCACATTGGTGAAGGCTTCCAAAGGGAATTGGCTAGATTTGCACTTCAAAGATGACAAGGTAATAAGATGCTAAGATTAAATGACAGTTTCTTACCCTGTTAATCAATATGATAAAGTAGTAACTTTTATGTTGATGTTACAGCTGAAGCCAAATTTGGATAAAGAAAAAGACCCAATGGCAGGAATCATGGACATGATGAAGGTCAGATTCTGTTTTAACTGTAGTTGGCTGATGATACTCTTTTTTTTATATTTTTTTTTTAATTTTATGTATGTACTTGTGGTTTACCCCTTGGGAACGTTCAGTTTAACTTATACCATGCATGTAATATATATTGCAGAATATGTACGAGGAAGGGGATGATGAGATGAAAAAAACTATTGCAAAAGCATGGACTGATGCTAGATCTGGAAAAACAGCTGACCCTTTAAGTAGCTACCGTTGAGCAACCAACAGAGGTTTAGAGGCTTGATTCCTGTTTCTAGAAAATGATTTGCTTAATTACATGATTTTGTTATAAAATGAATGTTTGGTCTATGTTCGTGGCACTTGTAGAAGATTAGATGTGTAGTTATTGTTACCAAAGTTCAACCTGGTCATATAATGACTATTTTTTGTTTGTGGTTGCTCAAATATTTGCTTGTGACTTGCTCTTGTGTGATTTTCCCGGTTTTGCTTTGAATTTAATTTATGTAGCAGGACCCCAGTAGACTAGGGACATTACAAATAAATATTAAACAGAAAATATGATGTCTATGCTAACATTTCCTGACTATGTGAAGTTTTGGGGCTAGAATCTTTTTAAACACCTAAAAAAAAGAAATTAACAATTGCGTACTTTCTATTTTTATCCTTCAAAGAGGGGCAATTTTCACTTGTATTATTACAAACGGTTTCTCATAAGTAACTAATATATTAACTTTCTCTTACAATATTTTGGTAAGAAATCTTCTAATGCCATAAAAAACGTGTGTATCTGAAGCACTTCAGGTTTGGATTCCCTGGATTTATATTTTCAATGGCTCAAAACTTCCACAAGTATATATTTTAGTGTAAAGTACCCATTTTGACTTTGTGAAGTGCTAAAATAATATACTAAGAGGTTAGAAAAATGGCAAATAAAATCCCCACTGTTAATTCTGTTATTTATTTTGGTCTTTATTGTTGTTTGGCTGTTGACTTGGCATGTTATATGTCATCGGCAGTTATAATGCCATATTGTGTTATGTGGATGAACCAATCAGATACTAAAATGACAGTAAAATATATGGTAAAATGATAGAGATGATTATCTTAAAGATACTTATTATTTGAGTCCTTAATATATGCAATTTACCATCATTTAGTTTTAAAATTTTACAACTTATTATCATTACAGTCTCTATAACGTATGGCTGAGATTCTTTATGATCTAAATCTTATAACATATTATCATTTAAAAAAAAAAAAGTGATTATTATATTATATTATATTTTCTATGAACATAATTTTATTTAGTCTGTAAATTGTGTGTAACAATAAATTGTGTCTTCATATCAATAAAAGGAAGTTATGCGTGAGTAATTTATATTCCAATAAAATGAATAAACTAATAATAGCATAGAAACATAATTTTTTTATGCAAAATCTATAAAGAATAATATATTATTATAATATTTATGCTGGTATAAAATTGGAAGATATACTAATAAAAATTATTAATCACTACTTGAAAAAGAATAGTTTGGATTTGAGTTTTATTGGATTGAGAATAGTTTGGGTCAGCTTTTTAATATATAAATTGGACTTGTTTTACTTTAAAATGTAATTTTGGTCTATTATTTATTTTAGGGTTATATAATCTGACATTTTTAAAAGTTTAACTTAACTTAGAAATTATTAAAAGTCTATTTTCTATTAATAATATTAAATATATTAATAAACTTAGTATTGAATAAGTCAATAAATTTATTTTTAAATGTGTAATTTTTTTTTTAAATTTGTGTAATAAGAACTAATTTTATTATTATTATAATCATTACTTAGTGTTTAAAATAAAAATATAAACTAAAGTAAAAGGGATAATTTATACACAAATTATAATGAAAAAAGATAATCATAAATAAATAAAAAGAGCAGTTGAATATGTGGTTGTTAGAGTTTTTATTTTTTATTTTTTGATTTCATATGTACAGAAAATATAAAATTGTAAAATGTTTAACTGTAATAAAATGTCAAAATATTTTGTTGATTTTTTTTTATTATAAATTTATTTATTTAATTACATTGTTAATAATATAATATGTATATTATTTTTTATTATATTATATAGATAAATAAGTTGGTCTATTAAACATTTCAATAAGTTTAAGTTTAAACTTTAAATAAATAAACTTTTCTAAAAACTTAAACATATCTTTTTTATTAAGTCTAGTCAGATCAAGTTAATAGGTTAGATCACAGATAGAGATGAGAATAGGTTAGGTCAAATTTTGAATATATAGGCTAGACTTATTCATCAAAATTAAAGCCTAAACTTGACCCATTATCTATTATATGTTTTTTTTTATATAGATCTAGCTTGAGAATTTTAAGGTTTGGCCTAATCTATTAGCTTATTTAAAAGTTTATTTAAATTATTAATATTAATTAGGTCAATAAACTTAATTTTTAAAATAAAAAAAATTTTTTTAAAAATATAATTTACTAAAAAGTATAAAAATTTAATTTTTAAAAGAAATATAGGTGAAAAATTAAATCATTTTTTATTGAAGGATCAACTCATGTGTAACCATGTATGTTAATGTATATTCATGCACAAATTATAAACTTATAAACCTAAAATGAAAAAAATAATTAAATAAAAATATATTTTAAATATTATAACTTATTTTAGTTTTTTAATTAATTTATTTATTTATATTTTTTAATTATATATATATATTGATTTTTTTATTATATTATATAAATAAATAGGTTGATCTATTAGACATAACATGGTTTTCTATAAACCTAAACTTGACCTTTTATATAAAAGATTTTAAAAAAAAATTTAAACTTGACATTTTTATTAAACAGGTCAAATTAAGTTAAATCATAGATTCCTATTTAAAGTTTAATCTATTCTCACCCCTAATCATAAATTATTGTTAAAATTTGATTTATTTTCATCCTTAATAGTAAACATTTATAAATGTAAGTATTACTAGAAAAAAGGAAGAATATTAATTACACAAGACTTTTTTCAAAAACTCTTCAAGGTCATTATTATCGATTTTTGTGAAATTCTTTTTATCAAGAAAGCAAGAAATGAAAATAAATATGGCTCAAATAAAAGTTATGTATATACAAGATAGAATTTATAAGATTAAAATATTAATTTTAAAATTTAAAAGTTTTATTCTATCGAATGCACCCAAATTGGTGGGAAAGAAAAATTGAAATGAAAAAAACAAATGGAATACATGTGATCCCATCTTCCTTCGTGGTTTATCATCCTCTTCCATATTCATTTATATAAAATAAACAATTGATTTTCATTTCATCCATTCCATCCCACTCTTTATCACCAAACATAGCCTCATTAGACAAGGTGATGACTAATAGAGAAGCAGTTACTACTAGACTAAAAAGGTTTGCTAAGGAGAATTTGACAAGGAAAGAATATAAACACGATAATCCTATGAAACCAAAGGTTGATATAAATGATTTTTTTTTTATGGTTTATGTATTCCCTGATAAGACACTCTGGTGGTAAAATTGTTGGGAAAAACATTGACTTTAATGAGGGAGAAACTTTGTTGGCTTTAGAACCTTATGGCTTGGTTCGAATTATTGAGTTATTTCATGGCAAAAAATTGATGTTCCTGAAGACTGTAAAAACGTGAAAAGGAAGGGTTATGGATGATTTTTGACCACTACTTCCCTATTCAAACATGTCTCTAGAAATCATATAGTTTAGATATGTTTCCTAAGTTTAAATTTGATTTATTATGATGAAAGCATCTTGTTGCATTGGCCATTGTTGTGGATAGGCCTATCAAGGTGGATACCAATACTAAGGATGTGAGATGGAGACAATTTATGAGAATTTTTATGAAGATCGATCTGGCCAAATCGATGATTGAAAGAGGGTGGCTGAAAAGGTTCTGGTATTGTGTGGAATATGAGGCCTTCATAGATTTTGTTCTCACTATGGATGTTATGGCCATTTGACAAGGGAATGACATTCCATGACAAGCAACAATAGGAGAACCATTTGACCAAAGAAAAAATAAAAGGGGAACAAGAAGAATATGGATAGTGGTTTGAACATCATGGAATATTGTTTACATGTCTATCGATTCATATGGAAGTTAAGGAACGTGGATGCATTTGAAGACACACTTTGGTCTATTTGGTACACTATCAATCAAATTAAAACCATTTATGTGATTCTATCCAATTCCATTAAGGTCACCACTTCTACTCTTTAGTGTCTTATATCTTGGATCCCCCTCAATATGATTTTGGCAAGTTAAATGCATATGGTAGTTCACAGGGAAATCTTGGAGCTTCTGGGTTTGGTGAGGTCATCAATGATAGTCTAAGAAGATAGTTTTTTTTAGTTGGGAAAAAGGAAGTATACAAGAGAGGGCACTAGGCAACAAGATATCAAGGAACAAGGCATCTTAGGATATACAAAGAAACATACATATACCAAGATATAAGTCCCAAAAAAGAACATGCACACCAACACTATAAGCAATCATGCAAGTGCAAAGCCCAACCATTGTGTGATAATCATCCCCTACAAAATCAAGCCAATCAAACGATAGTAAGTACATAAGTATGAGATTGGAAGACAAGTCCTTCGCAAGAATGGAAGGGATCCTTGGTGAGATTAAAGCCCAAAGATGCACAACATGGGATTAGGTTCCCAATTAAAAAATCTGCATGTCTAATCCTTTTGCTTAGCTTTAGACTAGCTCTAAGAGACAAATTTGATAGTATCCACCAAATAGATCATGTCCAGAGTTTTATTATTGAAAATAACTCTATTTCTATACCTCTAAATTAACCAAATTGTAGTTATCCATATTACCCACCAAGCACACCTCATGATTTTGCCTTTCCTCCAAGCACAATGTTACCAAAAATGGGTAGAAGAACACAATGACAAGGGTGTCCAAACAATATGCACACACAGAATAAGAAACCTTACAAGTAAACAAAAGGTGCATCATATTCTCACCGAACTTATTATACCATATTCTTATGACACCCTTTATCCCACATACTAGTATAAACATATAAAATAAAATAAAAATAGAAAAATTTTTAAAATAAAATTTACTGAATTGAAAAATCATTTACAAAACTCCCTCACATAAGAAAACATAACCAAATCACGAAGTATTAAATAGATGAATAAATGAGTTAAGATAAATAAAAAAAATACACTAATTTTGATTATATTTTAATTTGATTCACTTAACTCATAAATCAAATGAGTTCAACTTTAAGTGAGATAGATTGACCAGTTTATGTGTATATCTTATATAGTTATCATTTAAAGTTTTGATTAATATTTTTTTATGTATTTGTATTTGAATTAATGATATATTTGATTTCTTGATAAAAAGAAATTCTCTTTATTTTACTTAACAAAAATAAAAACCTGTAATTAA